TGCCATCTGGATACATAGCACAGTCCCCATATGAATGGAACATACTTCTTCAGTAAATTGTTAAGCGAAGAACCGCCCGTTGCAGTTGACGGAACCTACGAATGACCGAACTTCGTCCTTATTCTTCGGCTTTGGCATTTCCTGTATTGCTTGCACCTTCTTCCGGATCTTATGGATCCCTTCCTTATCGATGGAGTAACCGCAGTATTCGATGTTGTCCACGAAGAACTCGCACGTCTCCATCGCATTCGTTCATGAGCATGAGCATGAGCATGATTGACCGCCCACGGTTGCTACTCTGTTATTGCCAGACCAGCTGTAATTACAAAGAGAACCAATAGACGACCCTAATAAAATTGTTATGGTTATTTTGCTGAACGACGTGTTCTGGGTATCTTCCAAACCATTAGTGGAAAAGTTCAATTATTTGGGTTATCGTTCGTTTATAGTTATTTTTTATTAGGGGATGCTTGGGACTAGCAATCATCCTCAATGTGTAAAAACTGGTGATCTAGAATTAGGCAATACCAGCGCCAGCCGCGCCTGAACGCAGGTCGAGAAAGGAATGGGTAGGAATGTGTTGACGTGACACTCGCTTTGATGGAAGCCGAGGAGTCCTCTGCACTTCCACGAGGAATCACAGGGATGTTGGGTAAGAGGGTTGTGTTTGCAGCAGGGTTCGTTTTGGTTAACGATAAGCTGAATTGATGTCCTAACGATCGTATAACACGACCCACGGTCTTCTACTCAGTAAGCAAAAACGTTTGCTACTAGGCAAACGAGCTCCTTTTTAATCATCGAGTTGCTGTTATTACCATAGAGGTAACTCTAAGACCAGAAGGTCCCGAAGAAACGTGCTCAACTTTTTGGCTCAGCTCTGGTACTCTCTTCGGTCCCAAGCTAATCGATTCACCCCTCAAAACATAGGGAAATCCACTAACCCCTCATTTTATCTGTCAAACTTTCATAGCGAATCAAAACAAACATTGTGTAGTACTAGAATTTCGACTAGAATGGGATACGTTAATCGTTTGCTTGGGACCAATAGGCTAGTCAAGTAGTGAGCCAATTTAAAATCGTTAGTTTCGAATTGATTGTTGTTATTACCATGTAGTCATATTGATTGATTGATTTATCTTTATTAGGGAGGCTTTCAGCCTGGGGCTGGTTCGCCTCCAAATGTAGTCATATTAACAAATTAAACGATTGACGAATCTTGATGTGGATGGGCTTGAGATTAGACTCAGGTTGTTCTGCTCAGTAAGCAAAAACGGTTGCTCTAAGGCCACCGAGCCCCTCATATCAAATCATACCGTTACTCAAGTTGTTATAACTATTCAAACCCGGCACCGACGACAACGAAAGGTTTAGCAAAATACACGATAAACAAGCGATCTTACCATACATTTTTAATATGAAAGGACCTGGGACCGCGTTTTTCTGCTCAGTAAGCAAGCCACTGCAACCGACGATCTTTCAAATCCGAAAACAAAAGGCTACGTAAAAGTATTTAGGCCTTGATTAAATTCCACTATCACGCGACGTTCAATGTTTTGATTTGCTCTTTACGCATTCGTTCAGTCGACAAAGTACCTCATCCAGCCGTCGCAAATGAACTTCATTGTTTTCCCCCGTGATCTTGATGTCATCATTAAAAACGCTTACTCCATCTCTATCTGCCACTGCCAGATAGACGATTCGGACGGTAAAGACCACGGTTTGTACTCAGCGTTAGCATTTCACGGTCCTCCGGAGCTACTTCCAGTTGAAGATACGTTTGGACGTGATCAATCTTGCTAAACTTCTTTCCTCCCGCTAGCGAAGCAAACAGCTCATCCACAGTAGGCAGCGGATGCTTGTCCGCTACGAGGTTCGGGTTCACTGGTAGTCTCCGCAAATCCTCACCCGGTTCTGCGATTTCGTCACAGGAACAATCGGTGTCGCCCAGTTACTGGAGTTAACTTTCGCAGCTGCAACCAGCTTCTCCAATTCGTCCTCACCCGCTCTCTGCATATAGAAGGTTATCTTCCGCGCCTTCAGAAACACGGCCCGAGCAATGGTCTTCAATGGTAGGTTAGCTTGAACGTGGGAAATCTCTCCAATCGAGTCCTCGAAAACCTTCGGGTACTTCTCCAAAACTTCCTCCAATGCAGTATCACCAACCGGTGGAAACTAACGATTTTAAATTAGCTCACTACTTGACTAGCCCATTGGTCCCAAGCAAACGATTAACGTACCCCATTCTAGTTTAAATTCTAGTACTACACTTTATTTGTTTGGATTCGCTATGGAAGTTTGACAGATAAAATGAGGGGTTCGTGAATTTTCCTATGTTTCGAGGGGTGAATCGATTAGCTTGGGACCGAAGAGAGTTTAAGAGCTGAGCCAAAAAGTTGAGCACGTTTCTTCGGGACCAGAAAGTCTTAGAGTTCTATGGTATCACGACGTGGGGAAACAGTAGCAGCAATCGTATTCACAACACTCGAGCCCTGGAACATGTTGTTCCAGTCCACCGGCATTTTCTTCTACCATACGAATTCACAACGTACAACGAACTTCGAAGCTGGTATTGCAATAGCTAACCAAGTTCGTATCGCATTCATGCAACCGCGTACTCGGAAACAGTCGATTCCGGCATTCCGCACTGATGATACTGACCGGCGAACCAGTATCAACTTCAAAACGAATGTTCTTTCCGTTCACGAAAACATTCAATTCGAATTTCTTGCAACGCGACGTCGACTCGACCGTACAAACTTCACGCACTTCCGCACTTCCCGCCGCTTGACGATCGCCGGATTGGTCCACGTAATTTATCTGAACCGAATGTGGTTTGTTCGTCGTACGGGAATATGATTTCACGGCGGCCGTTTTCTTCAGGCAAACCTTCGCGAGGTGCCCCTTCTACTTGCAATCCCTAATAAAAATAACCATGAAAGTGAGCTTAACGACGTGTTCGGGGTATCATCAAAACCATTTGTGGGATAGTTTACCCATCCGGGATGCAGTTCGTTTATGGTATTTGTTTATTAGGGATACGAGCACACCGTTTGCTTATGTTTGCACAGCGATAGCAACTTGCATCGTTTGGAAAATGCATAACAAATCGCTGTCAAACTCAGATCTAATTTCTAGATAGAGCTGAAATTAGGGCGTAACAGCTTTTGTAAACAATGACTTCTTTCGACGATTTCTAAAAAGTCAAGGCTCGCCAACACAAATCAACATAACCATCGGGTAGGCGAAGACTTCCCCTTACCCGATGGTTATGTTGATTTGCGTGGGCATGCTTTCAATTCCTAAAAATCATCGAGTTAAGTCATTGTTTACAAAAGCTGTTACGCTTTAATTCCAGCTCTATCTAGATTTCATATAATTTTTAGGTTAGCCAGGCGATGCAACCGATAGAGTTATTAATAGAACGTTATTAATCTCTATACCAAACATTCGAACTGTCAGAAATACCGGGTTGCCAAACATACCAAAGTATTCACTAGTCACTGCGGAACACTTGGGTTGGGACACACTGAGAAAAAATGCCATCTATTAAGGTGATACTCTGAGGAAGCCTTAGCGTGAAACTTCAAAGGCACAAATGTCAGCTTCCACAAAACATACAAATTTGAAATTGCTACTCTCTGTTTGTAGTAGCACAGCAAACAAGGAGTAGCAATTTCAAATTTGTATGTTTTGTGGAAGCTGACATTTGTGCCTTTAAAGTTTCACGCTAAGGCTTCCTTAGAGTATCACCTTAAGTGTTTCGAGTTACTTAACCCTATAAGATAAGCGATTTTCTGGTTCGGTTGTAGCACAAAAAGTCGAAGGACAAAATGTCGATGGACAAGAGCTCGAAGGACAAAAGTTCTATTCGACCGTTTGTTCATTCGACCTTTTGTCCTTCGACCAAAATTATACTAAGGCTGTGTTCCATTTGGTGAATTTTTACTTAAATTTGATAGATTGAAAATTTTCAAATAAACCTGCTATTCCAGCAGACTTATTTCTGATAGACAAGAAATCAATTTTGACAGACGCTTTCTCAAAAATCGGCCGATCAACAACAGAGGGATTTTCGAACATCTTAATTTATTTTTGAAGTGTCAAATCTAAGTGGAAATTCACCAAATGGAACACAGTCTAAGGCTGTGAACCATTTGCCGAGTTAAATTTAACCCGTGGTTAAAAGTGACATTTCGAAAGTTATTTTGAATGTTCGAAAATCCCTGTGCTGTCGATCGACCGGTTTTCGAGCCACGATTGTCAAAATTTAACTTCTTGTCTGTCAGAAATACCCACGCTCGGATAGCAGGGTTAATCGATAACTTTTCATCTGTCAAATTTTAACCAAAATTTGAAATAATCCACCAACTGCTTCAGAGCCTAAGGCTGTGAACCATTTGCCGAGTTAAATTTAACTCGTGGTTAAAAGTGACATTTCGAAAGTTATTTTCTATGTTCGAAAATCCCCGTGCTGTCGATCGACCGGTTTTCGAGCCACGGTTGTCAAAATTTAACTTCTTGTCTGTCAGAAATAACCATGCTCGGATAGCAGGGTTAATCGATAACTTTTCATCTGTCAAATTTTAACCAAAAGTTAAAATAATCCACCAAATGGTTCAGAGCCTTAAGTTGCTCTGAAATTTGCTGGACTAGTTACCAACAAGTGCTCCGAAGCATGTATTTGTTCGAAAATAAGCCGAACCTGTCCTTGGTCCCGCTCTTGAACCTCAAATTGTTCTACCAAGTTCCCAAAATTATCATGACCGCCTTCTAAACCTAACCGCAAGCTCGAAGTCTACTGGACATCCTTCAAACCCGCTCAAGAACTCCCCCCGGCTCAGTCTCACAGGTTCATCGGTCCCCAAAGTTCTTAGGACTTGTAAGCAAAAAGTCCTAACAGGTTGTTCCATTATACTCAAAGTTAGCCAACCCCGAAAATCCTTCAGCCCCAAAATCCTAAATTCCTTAAAACGTCTTCCCCCAACCTACAGCATACTCACTTCAAGTGATGAAAATCATGCGCCTCCGGGCTGGGAAAGAACGGCAAATGGTACCCGGAGTGGGCATTCAGCGTCGACAGGATCACCAAAGTGAACCACAACCAGGCGACGGCCACGTGGCTTCCGAGCATAAAGATCCCCAGGAAAGGTGGCACCAGGTTGCTGAAAATGTGCTCAATCGGATGACAGTAGATGGCGGTGATGGCAATCGGAGCCGCCCACTCGTGGTGCTGCTTGTGGATGTACTTGTAGATGTGCCGGTTGTGCAGCAACCGATGGGCATAGTAGAAACCAATCTCCTCGATGAAGATGCAGAACGACAGTTCGGCGAGAACCCAGTGGAAGGTGGGCAGCTCGCGAAGATCGCACAATCCGCGAAACCGCATCGCCTGGTACATGAAGACGGCCATCGGAATGCCGACCAGAGTCTGGTTCATCAGAACCGTAGCGATGACCTTCATAAGCCGTGTCCTATCTACGGGTTCGTTCGTCCCCGGTTGCATCTTGTACCGGCGGATGCATGCGGGTTTGCAGGTCAGATCGAAGATGGTGTAAATTCCTCCGAAGAACCAGTACACGAAAACGGTGAAAATGGTCGTGCTGAGAACCCACAGCGTTGCGGGGTCTTCACCTGGAATGATTCATGATTTAATGGAAATTTCCGGGGAATGAAATGTGGACGGGGTAACCTGTAAAGTCGATGAACCGATCCCATTGGGCTTGCCAGAAATCTCCCGATGCTCCCCAGAACCGTTGAAGGTGCCTATGAACAATACACATTAGTATACATAATTCAATCAAAGCAGGCACTTTCATGTAACTCACCATGTAAGAGTATTTCGGAACGCGGCAAAGCCTACTAAGAAGAAGCTTACAATGACCAAGAAGCTGTAGAGGGACGAAAGCAGTCTAGGATTTTGTGGTTCCAGTTGAGATGTCTGGGTCTGATTCGCAGGCTGCTGCTGCTGTGGTTGATCACGCTTCGGACTCGACGGCGATGATCCCGCTTTCTCCTGAACAGAGCTGTCCATCATTTTGGGTGGTGTAAATTCTGTAAAACCACCCGACAAAAAATAGAAATTAGATGCAACGGCAACAGGTCGTAGCCATGGGAACAATGCGAACGCAAAGAGCAAAACAAAGCCAGGCCAGCGTGAGAAACCGTCAGGTTTCTCTCCCTGCTCGCGCCGTAATGTTTATTGTAAATAAAGCACAACAGAGAGCCCCAAACGTTGTTTTGTGATGACCAACCAAACGACCGCGGTTGAGAAGGGAAAATCGATAAATTGATTTTTCCGTTTCGTCCTGATGTTTTTCCCGGTGAGCGGAGTCCCCCTGGTCTTGGAATAGATGCAATTTTCTCGGGGCTGATAACGATGGAGTTTAGATTGGATCTCATGATTTAATTGTATCTTGATGCAATTTAAATTCTACATTGAAGATTCTTAACTGCACTGCATTACTATTAAGATAAGAGCCTTTGGACAATGGTTAGCAAAAGGTTTCAAATAAGGCGCAATTAGAATCACGTCATTTGCACTCAACCTAAACTCACAAACGGAATTATGTAATGCAAGTTTTCCGAAGCATTCCCCTTCGGTATTCGGCAAAATAAAGAAATCCTGCAAATCACCACCGTCTATCACTGAAATTTCGAAATTTTCTTTGTCCTCATCAGTTGAATAAAAAAAAACCGAAACGCAGTAGGCGCAGTTCCGAAAATTTTGCCTACCTTTGGGAGTAAAACAAAGAACAGCTGATTATGTTTTCAAACATTACATCGTTGTAATCTTCACCGGATGGTCACTTTCAATTCGAGCGGAATTCCAAACAAACGCGACAACAGTTTGATGATGTGGATTTTTTTCCACGGAACGTTTGAATGACTTAATCAAGAATGAAAGAAAAATGTAGAGATTCAATGTGCACGCACCAGGTGCTTTCGCTCTTACCTTCTCTGGAACGATGTATCCTCGACCACTACCAGAGTGATACTGTTGAAAACAATCAGGGATGGAACATACATGGAAGGCTGTATTAGAAGGACCCAGCAACAGTCAATTTAATGCAATATACATATAACGTATACAGGGTGCCTTCCATTCATTTTGAATAAAAAAATGTTTTATTAAATTATGGAATAATAAGATACTACAGTAATATTTTGTTTTTGTAAGCAACAAGAAAAGACTGTGAAGTTTGTGTTTGGCACATAATACCTGCCAATTTTGCTACACGAGGGTCGCAATAAGCGATTTTGTCATTTATCTTACCCACTCTTCGCTCTTCACTCTTCGCGAAGAGGCGATTAGAAAATCGCTCATTGTGACTCTGCCAAAGCTAAATTTGCAGGTTTTATGCGTCAAACACAAACATTACAATCTTTTCTTGTTACTTACACATACAAAATATCATCATAATATCTTACTATTCTATAATTTAATAAAACATATTTTTAGCCAAAATGAATGGAAGGCACCCTGAACGTATATAACGAAACACTATGCTAGTTCAGATAAGCAATGTATCTGTATAATTAGAAGGTGGTCATTACGGATGGATGAACGAACTGAAATGTCTTATGTGTACAATAGGGAAGGTCAGGCACGTAAAATATATAATTAATATTATATGTGAATTTGACAAGTCTTAAATCCGATTTGATTTGTTCTGATATTGTCATAGGAAACTCTTTTTATTCAATCGATTCGTGAGCTTTCACTCAGAGTGAGCGCTCACGAATCATAAAATCATTGATTGTGACTCTCTGAAAGCGAAATTGACAGATTTTTTAGTGTCAATTGGCGTTGACGGCACCGTCGAAAAATCGTCTCTTCTAGAAAAGATTGACAGTGACTTATGGGATTTTTCGGTGGAGTGAAAGGATAGTACGAAGTCCGCCATGTTTCACGCACAGTCTGACGTTTGCTTATGGATTTTACCATAGGAGTAAAGAGCTACAAAGTCGCCGTCAACGCCAATAGGATGTTTGCTTACGAGGCGAGCTCTCAGTTTTGCACGCCCCTCCTCCTGGTTCTTTCACTTTTACGAAGCCCTCAGCACATTCTATAATGTGGACCCTACACGGATGCCCTACAATAATCGTATTGTCAATACATTCAATATTGACGTCAATACATTGGTACTGACAATATTTCTGTATTCACATCATCAATATTATTGTCAATAATTCCCCTTCGTGTCACAATATATTGATACGTTTGGGGTCCGCTTTAAGCAAACCCCACACGCATCAATATATTGACGCGAAGGGGAATTATTGACTATAATATTGATGATGTGAATTCAGAAATATTGTCAATCTCGATATATTGACGTCAATATAGCATGTATTGACAATACGATTATTGTCAATAAAAGCAATCGTGTAGGGTTCACTTAAGGGAAGTCTCAAGCAAACACAACACGGGCTAATATATTTTCAATACTCAAAAATATTGACGATCATATTGATGCAAATATTGACGACGAAAATATTGATGACGTAAAATCAAGTTGACCCTACACGATTACTTTTATTGACAATAATCGTATTGTCAATACATTCGATATTGACATCAATATATCGAGATTGACAATATTTCTGAATTCACATCATCAATAGTATTGTCAATAATTCCCCTTCGCGTCAATATATTGATGCGTGTGGGGTTTGCTTCAAGAAAAGTTTGGTAATATGTTTCAATATTTCCCCTCAGTTTACGTTTCTGATGGGGCCTATTCCTCACCAACTTTTGTCTAGGTGGTTGTGATTTGGCTCTGAATATTCCATCGGATACAACAATGTTAGTGAGGAGCGACCAAGGGGCAGGACAGCTCCTAAGAAGAAGGGTAGACAATACGGGGGCGAAAACGAACCACTTTTCTCTCAAACGCGAACCAGCTCGTGATTGGCCGATTTGAAGTGCGTAAGATAGAGATAGATATAGATAAAGATAGAGATAAAAGAGTAAGAAGCCAGTTGTCTCCTCTTCCGCTTAGGACAGCTCCTGATCATGAGCAATTTCAGAGTTACTTTTGAGGCACTTCGAGTAACTCACATTGCTCAGTGAGCAAGATCACTGCGGTTTGCTTATCGCATCACAGCAACATATGGAGGTGCGAAGCCGAAAAGCTGCTGTTAAGCAAAACAACAACACAAATCGGGGACTTCCGGCCTGCAACTTCAGGCGAGTATGATTGCGATTTTGAACTCTCGGTACCTAATTTTCCTTCGGTTTACAGCTTCCGGGATCGCTCCTCGAATGGCTTTCGGATATATTATTAAAACGTGCGTGGCTGAGAACTAAAATTAGCTTTTTTCTTGGCTGTTGCGGAGGCTGAATATGATTTTATCGTACTGACGGAAACGTGGCTGGATGACGGGATCTATTCATCGTAACTTTTCGCTTTATTCCGTCTTCAGAACTGACCGATCTCCCCTGAACATTCAAAAATCGTGCGGTGGAGGCGTTCTGATTGCTGTCTCCCCGAGACTAACCCGCTACGTAAGTACCTCGCCTATTTTAAGTCAGAGTTTCCACATTCTCAGTATTGACCTGTTGTCGAGAAGCAGATGACAATTCACGCCAATGATGCACTGGCGACGAAGGCCTCCTTTGGAAGCTTTCCCAGCATCGTTCGAGCCGTTTTCTGGACAAATTCTGGAATTCACATCCTTTCAATAGCCGATCTGAACAATAATTCTATTTCATTTACAAACAAGACTGAAGCCTAATATGTGAAGGCGGTAAACGGCGGTAATCCGAGTAAACAGACAGAAATATCGATGAACGTCGAAGCAGCAAGTTACTCGGTGCAAAAAACAACTCAGAGTAAAGCCATAGAGGTAACTCTAAGACTAGAAGGTCCCAAAATAACGTGCTCAACTTTTTGGCTCAGCTCTTGTACTTTCTTCGCTCCCAAGCTAATCGATTCACCCCTTGAAACATAGGAAAAACCAATAACCCCTCATTTTACCTGTCAAACTTTCATAGCGAATCAAAACAAACATTGCGTAGTACTAGAATTTCGACTAGAATGGGATACGTTAATCGTTTGCTTGGGACCAATAGGCTAATCAAGTAGTGAGCCAATTTAAAATCGTTAGTTTCGTATTGATTGTTGGTAAAGCTGTCTAACCCCTTGGGAGCGCCCTGTATTGAGATCCGAAAAGATGATTGAAAATATTGATGGAAATATTGACGAAGTGTGTGGGGTGCACTTTAAACACTTTTGCACTATGTGATATTCAGATAAAAATCATTATTTTTGTTATTGGAAAAATATTATGCGCGTTCCTTATAGAAACTAAGTTGAAATTTTTTTTCAGTGTGAGTTAGCCAGCCCAGGGTTACTTACCTTACCAATCAGGCTAAGGCCTTGTTGTCCTCTGCTGTTCGAAGAAGTCGTCTCCACTCTACTTGGATCCATGGCCATCTTCTTCTTGCTCCTGTTGGGTCGCTTGCTAGAACCATTTTCACTGGGTCGTCGTGCGGCATTCTTACAACGTGCCCAGCCCACAGTAGTTGCCCAATTTTTGCAATGTGGACGATGGATGGTTCTCCCAGCAGCATTCGCCTCCTCCACGTTCCGTCACTCACTTGCACTCCACCGTAGATGGTACGCAACACCTTCCGTTCGAAAACACCAAGGGCCTCCACGAGCATAGTCCAGGTCTCGTGGCCGTAGAGAATCACCGGTCAAATCAGCGCCTTGTAGACAGTCAACTTCGTGTGGCGGTGAATTTTATTCGACCGGAGTGTTCTGCGGAGTCCAAAGTATGCACGATTCCCTGCCATAATGCGTCTTTGAATTTCTCTGCTGGTAACATTTTCGGCGGTCACCAGTGAGCCCAAATACACGAACTCATCGACCACCTCGATTTCGTCACCGTGAATCTGAACTCGGGGTGGGAGGCTATCATTGTCTTCCGTAGAACCTCTTCTTTTCATGTATTTTGTCTTTGATGCGTTGATGGCAAGTCCAATCCGCCTAACGGGTGTTCAATCAAAAATGAGAATGATTTCAGTGCCGTCCAGCGCTCTTGTGAGAGCATCGCGACTAAGTTGCGTTGTACGGCTGGCCAGGGCCCCTTCTCCAATATTTATTGACGTTTTTTTGAAGAATAAACATTATGTTTAAAAAAAAAATACTGAATTCCTTGAAATTTTTTTTATATACTAGCTATATGACTGAAAAAAATGTCATTTTTTATTGAAAACCCGTTAGCTTCAGCCCAGGGTTGCTAGGTGCATTTAGAAGAAAATAATCAATGATAATGGGCTATAGGCTAGGATGTAAGGTAGGTAGACTCAAATGTAACATTCCTGACTTACGCCGATCTGGCTCTGAACACGGCCCCCATGAAGGACCGTGTCAACCCTAGCGTGGCCTCCCTGCTTGCATAGATAACAATGGGATCACGATAGGAGACTACATACAACGAGTGGAGAATGGAGAAAATCGGAGAAAAAAAAAACAAAAATGAAGAAAAAGAAAAAAAATAAAAAAAATATGAAGGACGACGGCAAGACGCCAGACAGTGAAAACGGAGGAGCGAACGTGTTCGCAAGCAGCGGGATATTGCAGAGATCACCAGTGTCGAACCTGGGGGCCACTGCCAGTTCCAGCAGCAGCAGCAGTAAGTCTCAAGAAGAGCAGCCAGGCGTTGGGCTAAGCCAGATATTCACACCAATATCCAGCAGTAGCAAATCTTAAGAACTGCAGCTTGGGAGAACCAAAATGACGGAGGTCAGGAGGAAGATCGATGAACTCTATGGGTTCGTGAAGGATAAAAACAACGTACACAAAGAGATCAAGCATGCGGCATAACAGTGGCAGATCGGGAATTTCAAGAGTGGAAAAAAAGAGCCGAAAATGCTCTTCTGGAGGCCAAGGAGAGCATAAGACTGGCTCAAGCACATAAGACACCGAAGGGACCCACAAATCCACGTCCTGAAAAGAGAGATAGGGACACGCCAGGAGATGAGGAGGAGCCCAAAAAACGCAGGGGCGACGAGGAAGGCATCAAGGAGATGGGAGAAAATGGTGGGTGGCGTAAAGTCGAGAACCAGAAGGAGAGGAAGAAAAAACAGAAGGAAGGTGAAGTGAGGAAGAAGGAAGAGGAAGCGAGGAAGAAGGAAGAGAAGAAGAAGGAACACATGAAGAACAAGGAGAAGCTTAGGCATCATAGGGAGAGAAGCAAACGTCCTACGCAGCACTTCTCCAGAAAGTGAGAGAGGATCCGGAGTTGAAACAACTAGGCGAGAACGTCGTGAAAACCAGGCGAACCCAGAAAGGCGAGATGCTATTCGAGCTGAAAAGGGACCCTACGGTTAAGAGCTCAACCTTCAAGGAGCTCGTCGAAAAATCTCTTGGCGAAGGGGCGAGCGTAAGAGCCCTATCCTAGGAGACAGAAGAGGAGCTGAGAAGTGCGTTAAGAGTGCACTGCAATCTGGGAGATGTCCCGATGTCAATCCGGATGAGGAAGGCGTACGGCAGCATGCAAACGGCGGTGATACGGCTATCGACAGTTGGAGACGGGCAAGGTCAAGGTTGGGTGATCAGTGTGCTCGCTGAAAGCCACTCCTCGGGTTACCAAGCAACTGGAGCGATGCTTCAAGTGCATGGGTTTCGGTCACCAGGCGAGGAACTGCAATGGCCCTGACAGATCTGTTCTGTGTAGGAAATGCGGGGAGAATGGTCATATTGCAAGAGGCTGCACGAAGCAACCGAGTACCTAGCAATGGTAAGCCAACAGTAATGGAGGTAACCCAAATAAACATCAATAATTGCGACACTGCTCAGCAACTGTTGTGGCAGTCGACAAAAGAAACAAAGTGCGACGTTGCAATCATTGCGGAACCATATCGAGTCCCTAGTGATAACGGAAACTGGGTGGCGGATAGAGGTGTAATGGAGGCTATACAAGTTAACGGTAGTTACCCTATTCAAGAATAGATATTCCAGATGCAAGAGGGCACAGTTGCTGGAAGCTCTGGCAAAACTGGAAGTTATGCTAGCCAACGAAGGCAACAGCAGCACTTTTCGCAGAGATGGTCGTGAATCCATTATCGACGTTACTTTCTGCAGTCCGTCGCTGCGGATATACCCATAGTGACCATCAGGCGATCCGATATGACATCGGCCAACGGAATGCTGTGGCAGTACTTGTAACCGGAAGTGGAAGACGAAGGCTTTCGACAAGGATCATTTCGTTGAGGCACTCCGTGTGGACAGGAACCCCGTGGTTCTGAACGTGGACGAGCTGACAGAAACGTTAGTGAGAGCATGTGACACGACCATGCCGAGGAAACTAGAGCCAAAGAACAGACGGCGTCCAGTCTACTGGTGGAACGAGGCACTTAGCACCCTTCGCGCTAGTTGTCTCAGAGCCAGAAGACGTGTTCAGAGAGCAAGAACAGAAGCAGACAGAGAGGAACGAAGAGGAGTGTTTTGAGCCGCACTTAAACAAGAGATAAAGCAGAGCAAGTCAAACTGTTTTAAGGAGCTGTGTCGAGATGCTGATGCAAACCCCTGGGGCGACGCATACCGAGTCGTGATGACGATGATCAGAGGTCCAACGATGCCCGCTGAAATGTGTCAAGAGAAGCTACGGAGAAGGAGAGCGAGATAACGTCGAAGTCACCAACGAGGAACTCGTAGCAGTGGCGAAAGGATTGAAGGTGAAGAAAGCTCCCGGTCCGGATGGAATCCCCAACGTGGCGTTGAAAGCGACGATCCAGACGTTCCCGGACATGTTCAGGATGGTGCTGCAGAAATGCCTGGACGAAGGTCACTTCCCTGACAGGTGGAAGATACAGAAGCTAATGTTGCTTCCGAAACCAGGAAAACCACCGGGGGATCCAGCATCGTATAGGCCTATAGGCCTGCTGGATACACTCGGAAAAGTCCTGAAGAGGATCATCCTAAACAAGCTAACGAAATGCACGGAGAGTGAGCACGGATTGTTGGAGAGGCAGTTCGGATTCCGGAAGAGGAGATCGACGGTGGATGCAATTCGGACAGTGGTCGAGAGAGCCGAGAAGGCGTCCAAACAGAAGCGGAGAGGAGATCGATATTGCGCTGTGATAACGATCGACGTTAAGAATGCGTTCAACAGCGCCAGCTGGGAGGCCATCACCGAAGCGCTGCATAGAATGAGAGTCCCTGATTACCTGTGCAGGATCCTGAGGAGTTATTTCTAGAACCGGGTTCTGGTCTACGAGACAGGCATCGGACAGAGATCGATTAGGATCACAGCGGGAGTTCCACAAGGCTCCATCCTTGGGCCAACGCTCTGGAACGGGATGTACTACGGCGTGCTAACGCTGAAGCTGCCCAAAGGAGTTGAGATCGTTGGCTTTGCGCTGGCGAGACGCTAGAAGAGGTGGAAGTGTTGTCAACCGAAGCCATCGACAAGATTGGTAACTGGATGCAAGGAGCGGAGTGTTGTTATTGGTCAGTAACTGTAAAGCGGTACAGCGGGCAGAAATTACCGTCAGGGAGCACGCCATAGCCTCGAAGCGTGTGTTAAAATACCTGGGAGTGATGATCGATGACCGGATAAACTTCAACAGCCACGTCGAATATGCCTGTGAGAAGGCTTCGAAGGCCATCAACGCGATAGCTAGAATCATGTCGAACAACGCTGGTCCCAGCAGTAGCAAGAGGCGTCTTCTGGCCAGTGTGTCGTCGTCGATACTGAGGTATGGAGGTCCAGCCTGGGTTCCAGCGCTGGAAACGAAGCAGAACCAAAGAAAACTGAGCAGTACGTTCCGGCTCATGGCCATGCGAGTCGTGAGTGCATACAGAACCATCTTGTGGGAAGCAGTATGCGTTATCGCCGGTATGATCCTTATCGGCATCACCCTGGCGGGCGACAGCGAGTGCTACAGGCGGAGAGAAGCCGGAAGATTACGGAAAGTTGTGAGAGTGGAGTCATTGGCTAAGTGGCAACAGGAGTGGAACACGACGGATAACGGAAAATGGACACATAGACTAATACCGATTCTTTCGACCTGGGTGAACAGAAAACACGGAGAAGTCAACTTCCACCTAACGCAGTTCCTGTCTGGCCACGGCTGCTTCAGGAAATACCTGCATCGGTTCGGACACGCAGCGTCACCCCGCTGTCCGGAATGTGGCAACGTCGATGCAACGCCGGAGCATGTGGTCTTCGACTGTCCAAGGTTCGAGGCAGTGCGATGGGAGTTGTTGGGGACAACTGGAAAACGGAGTACCCCTATCCACTCCGCCGCCGCTGGACTCGCGGGTGACTGTTTTATCCGTCATCCTTCAGATGTCAACAAAGCGCATAAAGAGTGAATGAGATATGTTGTCATCATGTATGTAAATAGAAGTGTTTTTAGTTCGTCATCGTAACAACGTGTTTTATTTTCATTCCGAGTTTTTAATTAGTTTTAATTTGTATTCGCGTCCAATGTTCGCGTATCGTGAGTTCGGCCACCACGTACGGGCGCGGGATACAAATGTGGCGACTTCGGGAGTGCAAAAGTTGTGAAAAGTGGTGAAAATATCCCATCACAACGTTACCCACAGTGAAACGAAGAAGAATGGATGACAACTCGTTCGACGGGAATCCGGGTCCGATTCAGCCGGGAAATGGACAGCAGATGCCTACCGGGAATGTGCGACCGATTCCGCAGCAGCAACAGTTCAGAAATCCGCCTCCAGCCGGACAAGTGGACCCGTACCTGCTATGGTTTCAGCAGCAGCAGCAGGGTTATGTCACGGACCTTTTTCGGCAGCAGCAGGAGGTGATAAGGCAGCAGCAGGAGGTTATGCAGCAACAACAGCAAGCGTTTATGGCCCAGCAGGAGCAGCTGATTCGCAGTATAATGACATCGATCCAGGTGCAGGTCCCAGCAAATCCGGAAGCTGTTTTAGATTCCTTGGCGAACAATATCAAGGAGTTCAGATACGATCCCGACAGCAATGTTACGTTCGCTGCGTGGTATAGTCGATATGAGGACTTGTTCGCGAAGGATGCCAACCGACTCGACGGAGGAGCAAAAGTGCGCTTGCTGATGCGAAAGCTGGGGATGTCGGAGCACGAAAGATATATCAGCTTTATTCTGCCAAAGGCACCGAAAGATTTTGACTTTGCGGTGACGGTAAAAAAGTTGACCAGCTTGTTCGGTGCTGCCGAATCTGTGATTAGCCGGAGGTATCGTTGCCTGCAAATCGTCAAGCAGCCACAGGAGGATTATGTGACGTATGCATGCCGCATTAACAAATCGTGCGTCGAGTTCGAGCTGTCCAAGCTATCGGAGGAGCAGTTCAAGTGCCTCGTATTCGTGTGTGGCTTGAAGTCGGACAAAGATGCAGATGTGCGGATGCGGCTGTTGTCGAAGATTGAGGAGCGGAATGATGTTACGCTGGAACAGCTGTCGGAAGAGTGTCAACGTTTGTTGAACTTGCGGCACGATACTGCGATGATTGAGGAGAACTCAATGTCTGTGAAAGCCTTGAAGACGAAGCAGTACCGTTTCAAGGGAACCTCGCCGTCGAAGTTCAACCAGTCCGGCAGTGAGAAGGGTAGTTGGAGAGCGAGCAGCGGGAAGACTAGTCCGGAAACAGCTTGTTGGCTATGCGGTGGCATGCATTACGCCAGGGAGTGCACGTACAAAAGCCATAAGGGCAGCGATTGCAGCCAGGTAGGCCATAAGGATGGCTACTGTCGGAGTGCAGCGAAGGTAAAATTCAGGCGACGGAAGCCCAATGTTGCAGCGGCCAAGGTAGTGACTGTGAATTCGTGCAGTGTGCAGGAGCGTCGAAAGTACGTGCCGGTTGGAATCAATGGATTACCGGTGCGTATGCAAATCGATACGGGGTCTGACATCACGATAATTTCGTCGGATACCTGGTGCAAGATTGGCAGCCCTTCAACGTCTGCGTCGACGATCATCGCAAAGACAGCCAGTGGTAGGCCATTGCAGATTGAAGGTGAGTTTTCTTGTTATCTTTCCATTGATCGGCGAGTGTTGCGTGGCTTGATTCGGGTCACCAAGGAACAGTTACACCTGTTGGGTTCTGACACGATTGATGCTTTCTGATTGTGGTCGGTTCCTTTCGATTCAATTTGCAACCAGATCAGCAGCACTCCGGCCAGTGTAAGCGGGTTAAAGGCAGAGTACCCGAATGTGTTTTCTGGCGATCTTGGGCTATGTAAGAAAACGAAGGTGAAGTTCCAGTTGAAGGCCGGAATGACCCCTGTGTTTCGTCCAAAGCGTCCGGTAGCGTATGGCATGTACCAGACGGTGGACGATGAACTGGACCGATTGGAGCGAAAGAAAATTATCGAACCGATAGACTTCTCGGAGTGGGCAGCTCCGATTGTGGTGGTTCGTAAGGCGAATGGTACGATTCGTATCTATGGGGATTATTCAACGGGACTGAATGACGCTCTACAGCCCCACCAGTACCCTTTGCCTCTTCCGCAGGACATTTTCGCTAACCTAGCAAACTGCACCGTCTTCAGCCAAATAGATTTGACGGATGCGTTTTTGCAAGTGGAGGTGGACGAAAGTTCTCGTGACCTCCTGACCATAAACACGCATCGAGGACTGTACCGCTATAATCGTCTCCCGCCAGGGGTGAAGGCAGCGCCGGGAGCGTTCCAGCAGTTGATCGACACGATGCTGGTTGGCCTGAAAGGAGTGAGCGGCTACCTGGATGACATCGTTGTCGGTGGTACCGACGAAGAGGACCACAAGAAGAATCTTCGGGCGGTGCTGCAAAGAATCCAAGAGTTCGGGTTCACCATTCGTTCGGAAAAGTGCTCCTTTGGAGAAAGCCAGATTCGCTATTTGGGACATTTGCTGGATCGTCACGGGCTGCGACCGGATCCAGCAAAGATCGAAGTTATTCAGAAGCTGCCAGCGCCTAAGGATGTCAGTGGAGTTCGTTCTTTCTTGGGCGCCATAAACTATTATGGGAAGTTCGTGCCGAATATGCGTACATTGCGGTTTCCACTTGATGAGTTGCTGAAAGGAAATGGAGAATTCCGGTGGACAACCGAGTGTCAGCGTGCCTTCGATCGGTTCAAAGAGCTACTTGGTTCCAATCTTCTGCTAACTCACTACGATCCGCGACGAGAGATCATTGTATCGGCGGATGCTTCATCGATAGGCGTTGGTGCAACAATCAGCCACAGGTTCCCCGACGGGTCGGTGAAGGTGGTTCAGCATGCGGCACGTGCGCTCACGAAGGCAGAGATGGGTTACAGCCAGCCGGATCGCGAAGGTTTAGCAGTTGTGTTCGCCGTAACGAAATTCCACAAAATGATCTTTGGAAGGCAGTTTCGCTTGCAGACCGATCACGCACCCTTGATTCGAATATTCGGTTCACGGAAGGGCATTCCCGTGTACACAGCAAACCGGTTGCAGCGATGGGCGTTAACGCTACTGTTGTACGATTTCTCCATCGAATACATTCCAACCGAGAAGTTTGGGAACGCCGACATCCTCTCAAGATTGATCAACAATCATGCCAAACCTGAGGAGGATTACGTGATTGCGAGCGTGATTTTGGAGGAGGATGTACGATTCATTGCGGACGAAGTGATCAGCGGTCTGCCATTGAGCTTCAAGATTGTGGAGCAAGATACACAAGCCGATCAGCAGCTGCGCAAAGTATATCGCTACCTTCAAGAAGGATGGCCAGAAGTGTCGACGATCGAAGATCCTGAGATTCGACGGTTCCATGGGCATAAAGATTCGTTGTGTTCTGTTTGGAAATGCATCATGTTCGGTGAACGCTTGGTGATTCCTGAGAAGCATCGACTGCGGTGCATGCGGCAGTTACACCAGGGACATCCAGGGATACAACGCATGAAGTCCATAGCAAGGAGTTATGTGTACTGGCCATCGATTGACGATGAAATCGTTGGGTTCGTGAAGGCATGCAAGCACTGCGCATCCGTGGCTAAATCTCCACCGCATTCCCCACCGGTTCCGTGGCCAAAGCCTAGTGGTCCATGGAAGCGTGTCCACGTGGATTATGCCGGCCCCATTGACGGAGTATACTACCTGCTAGCCATCGATGCCCATTCGAAGTGGCCTGAAGTGGTGCCTACGCAACGAATAACATCCACAGCAACGATCAGCATTCTACGGAACATCTTCGCCCGCCTAGGAATGCCCGAAACGCTCGTTAGTGACAATGGTACGCAGTTTACGAGCAGCGAGTTCCAGAAGTTCTGCAGTGACAGCGGAATTGATAACGTCACCACGGCACCTTTTCATCCTCAGTCAAACGGTCAGGCTGAAAGGTTCGTGGACACATTTAAGCGGGCGCTGAAGAAAATCCAGGAGGGGAAGAACTGTGTTGGTGAAGCGTTGGACATTTTCCTTCTAACCTACCGTACAACGCCAAATCGTCAGGTCGAAGATGGAAAATCACCGTCCGAAGCTATGTTTGGGCGTCGCATCAGAACCAGTTTGGATCTACTTCGCCCTCCGCCGGCGCGTCCGCCGATAGAGCCTAATCCAGACGATGAAGTAAGGAGAAGTTTTTCTGCACACGATCCGGTCTACGCAAAGGTGTACAGCAATAATAAATGGCGCTGGGCACCAGGAGTCGTTTGCGGCAAGATCGGCAAAGTTATGTACACGGTCTGGGTTGAGGATCGTAGAATGGTTCGAGCACACGTCAACCAGCTGCGCAGTCGTGGTGGTACTCCAGTTAGCAACCGTACGTCACAATCGTCGGCACCACCACTCGACGTTCTGTTAGATGCGTGGAGTATTCCTAGAACCACGTTGGTACCGGCAGCACCATCTCCACTACCAGGACCATTGACTTCGCCGGATCTTCCGAATCCTCAGGCCCCGAATGCTGAGTCTACACCGTTGCCACCTGTATCGTCCTTGTCCTCGTCGTTAGCTACGTCTTCGTCCTCATCATCATCGTCTACGTCTACATCAGCAGCATCTCCAGAGTTCGCTTCAGCAGATAGCGGACCAGCTACACCGGTACAACTTCCACGCCGGTCTTCTCGTATCCGAAGGCCGCCGCAGTGGTTTGACCCGTACCACCACTATTGAAGAGGGGGGATGTTGGGGACAACTGGAAAACGGAGTACCCCTATCCACTCCGCCGCCGCTGGACTCGCGGGTGACTGTTTTATCCGTCATCCTTCAGATGTCAACAAAGCGCATAAAGAGTGAATGAGATATGTTGTCATCATGTATGTAAATAGAAGTGTTTTTAGTTCGTCATCGTAACAACGTGTTTTATTTTCATTCCGAGTTTTTAATTAGTTTTAATTTGTATTCGCGTCCAATGTTCGCGTATCGCGAGTTCGGCCACCACGTACGGGCCGGGATACAAAAGGAGTTGACCGTCTTTAACGTGGAGAATAACGTCGTTGAAATGTGTCGAGAGGAGGGCACTTGGAATGCCGTCAGCAGGGCAGTCACGCAGATTATGTCGGAGCTGCAGCGTAAATGGAGAGAAGAGCAGCGATCTAGCAACGTTCAAAAGGCCCAAAAACAGCTATCAAATCAACAAAATCACAAACGAGATCAGTATGACAGTTGTTTGCTACCCCTGCTGCGCACACTAGTGGTTTACACCACCATGTACCATGTACGCATTTGCGAAAGGGCACTGAACATTGAAAACAAAGAACACAACAGATGAATTGATAACAAAACAGAAAGCCGATGAATGAAATAGGCCAATGGACATTAGATCTTTTGCGATGTGCTGCTTGAAGTCCTTTTGTCTCTGACCTTGACCACTGTGACGCGAATCTGTCGCAATTTAGATATCATCATGCATGAATACAAGGGCATAGCCAGATTTCGAGCTAGGGAGGGGCGAAAAAAAAATTAGTATGGAAAATTTGGCCGAATGCTATTTCACCGAAAGCCTTTGTGTTGCTGCGTTTAGGGGGGCAACTGCCCTCCCCTGCCCCCCTCTGGCTACGTCTATGCATGACTAACTTCCTCTAAAGTCCGAATGAGTCAGAACTAGCGGTTCGGTTTTCTACTTAAATAATAACAACATGCATTTGCATGTAAAATACGTCATTAAACGCACACAAATGTGCGTTACTACAGATTTAACCTAGATTTACGTTTTGCAGCAAGGTAAATCATCCAATCATCGACAAATCGCAGTAGGGTAAGTGTACCAGTTTTTTTACCCAAGAGGTTCCCTTATTAGCCCCATCTTAAATTTTAATTTCATTCGTTCTTCACCAAAGTTAATTCCATGGCAGGCTTGAACACAGATTTTTCCAATGTATCGACACAAATTTGATCTAGACACCTGGGCCAAAAAACTGGAGCACTACCCTACCACATCTCAGGAAAAAAAAACATTTCATTCACACTCAACTTGATTCAAACCGTTCATATCCACCAACCACACAAACATTGAACCGAACCGGCGAATATAAATATAAGAGCGCTGTTATGATCATCACCTAGCCGGTGGTACTGACAACGATCATCATCATCAACATCAGTGTAGTCGACGTTGCTCCAACACACGTCCATGACCGCTGCGTGAGCAAGAGCACCTACATCACAAAAACCGCTCGCGCATCTTCGCTCAATAAAAAAAAGTCAGTAATCTCGGACAACGAACATTGCCCATCAGAACTTATAGCGGTAGTACCGTTCCAGCATTTCACGCAGCAACAGCTGCGGTTACACAAATATTAACCCGAGAGTATATTGATAGACGCAATCTCGGAGACGAAACCCGAGACACTTGTTTTTGGACAAAGAAACGATAATTAGCTTCGAAGAAAGTGCAATTTCTACTCCGATCGGGGCAGCATGTCGTTGGGTGTGGAAATCTTCGACCTACCTGCGAGGCACTTCCGAGTGTTCTGGGGTGCATCCGGTGATCTGTGGCAGTCGCTGTGGGATCGCTTGCTGGATATAACAGGTGCCATTTGTGTGTGTGTGTTTTGTATATTGCGGAGATCGCAATTAGCTGACGGTGATGATGATAATTATGTGACACATCAAACTGAGTCTGGTCTTCCTTTCGAGAGGGTAATCTAAGGTCACGTTCATGGTAGCAAATCAGTTATGGCCAATTATCAAATCAAGGGATATGCAGCTTGTATAGGGTGTGGGTGAACAAAAAAACAAACAAATAATATTGCGAATTGCGTTGCGCATATCGTGAATGCTCTCGTCGCTTACGGTGGACGTCATGCCGGGTTCGAAAGTTCAATTTCGCGTTTAACAAAAATCCGAAAATTTGATAGCCTGTTCAGATGACCTCTTTACGCGAAACAAGAAGTCTATCGATAGCGACAGACCATAATTAAAAACGCGCTTAATCTTATCGCAGCGCAGTAGGCTTTGCAGTGTTGTGCTGATGCTAAGCGACGAGTCGATGTTGTTTTGGATTGACCTCCCGTGACGACGGTCATGGTTCTTATCACGAAATTCGCTGTTGATTGACCTATAACGCTAAGCCGGCTACGATACAAAAGCGTATTTATGGGTTAAATTTCTGCTGAGTCATCCCCTTATCGTTCAACGGCTTTCCATCAAGCACCACTCACGAGCTTTCCCCTCTCGTTTACAGGCGACGACCCCTTGCGGCTATGGATCTTCGGCACTCTTGTTTATACCATGGCCCTCTACTGGACCATCGGATCCATCTACACGCTGTTCGACGTAACCAATCAACCGGCGTTCCTGCGGCGCTACAAGGTCCAACCGGGAACCAACGAACCCGTAGACGGCAATAGCCTCCGACGCGTCATCCGCCAAGTCTTATTCAACCAATTTTTCACCGGCCTCCCATTGCTTTTCGGCATGTACCACGCAATCACCCCACAAACCCCTCAAATGATCCGACAACTGCCAACCTTCACCGCCGTTCTGTGGCAGTTGGCCGTGTGCATAGTGATCGAAGAGTTAGGCTTCTACTACAGTCACCGCCTGCTGCACCATGGACGAATCTACAAATTCATCCACAAGCAGCATCACGAGTGGACTGCTCCGATCGCCATAACTGCCATGTATTCGCATCCGCTTGAAAACTTGGTCAGCAATCTTCTGCCGATCGGAGTAGGCGTGTGGGCTTCCGGTTGCCACATCTCCGTCGCGTGGCTGTGGTTCACGTTGGCCATTTCCAACACGCTGCATGTACATTCCGGGTACCATTTGCCATTGTTGCCCAGTCCGGAGCAGCACGATTACCATCATTTGAAGTATGCGAGTGATCATTTTTTTTTAGTTGAAACAAATCATGATTGATTCTTTTGAAAAATAGGTTCAACCAATGCTTCGGCGTGCTGGGAGTGCTGGATTGGTTGCACGGTACGAACAGTATGTTCATGAGCTCGAAGCAAGCGGAGCGGGACTACATAATGACCAAGCTGACGCCGGTGCGCGAAGTTCATCCCGACAAGGATGGGTTCGGTAAAAAGAGCAAATAATGAAGAATGGGGGGTTATGTTTTTGTTTTGCATGCTCGAACAATCAGTACGTAAGTCAATGCAATTGGTATGACATGTGCTCTGTATGTATGTAGTGATTAATTGGTGGTAAATATTCGATGGAATATTTTTTTAATTATAAAGATGGAAATTGGAAAGGTTTTATGAAAATTTGAGTAAAATACGTTTTTGTGTGTGAAAGATCATATCCCTTTTGACTATGCAGGTTGTAAACGAAAACCTTTATACTCGAACTCAGTATCGACACCATGCGTCTGTGGTACTCAAGCTTGCATATTAAGTCGCAAACAATATTGCATGCAAGCAAAATAGATTCAATATTGGAAATCGCAAAAGTTACCGCTGAGTTGAAAAAAACCACAAAACTGTAAATACATAAATTGAACGTGAAACAACCAACCCCCTGATTAGAGCTTCCATCCTATGCTTACTCCTTCCGGAGGAACTTCTGTATGTCACCGACTTCTACCTTGGCTTCCATAGCTCTCCTTCGCTGTTGTTTTCTAACTATTTCTTAAGTTCACAGGTAAGTATTACCTTTTCCGGTTAGTATGTAATCCTAAAGCTCGGCACATCAGAAATCATCCACCACAATCATCATGATCGGCATGGACTCTTGTGAAATTTGGCTGACATCAATAACATCACGTCACATCAGGGAACTTCTAAGAAGTGAAGAGCCATTCATTTGATTTCAGAGAACTTCGTAAAAGTTCAGAATTTTAAACAACTTCGTGGAAGTTTAGGGAACTACGTTGAAATTATGGATTTTTTTAGAAGTGCAGCAAATAGGAGTTCAGTTAACTCTAAGAATGCTCAGCGAACTTTGTACAACTTCAGTGAACTTTGTAGAAGCAACAATCAATACGAAACTAACGATTTCAAATTGGCTCACTACTTGACTAGCCTATTGGTCCCAAGCAAATCGACAACCGTACCCCATTCTAGTATAAATTCCAGTACTACACTATGTTTGTTTTGATACGCTAAGAAAGTTTGACAGATAAAATGAGGGGTTAGTGGATTTTCCTATGTTTCGAGGGGCTAGGGACCGAAGAGAGTACCAGAGCTGAGCCAAAAAGTTGAGCACGTTTCTTCGGGACCTTCTAGTCTTAGAGTTACCTCTATGGTAGAAGTGCAGAGATGTTTGTTGAACTTCGGTAACATTTATAGAAATTTCGAGAATCTTATAGAAGCTCGGAGAATTTCGTTGATGTTCAGGAACCGTTTCTTTAATCTAATCTAATTTAATCTAATCTAATCTAATCTAACACCAACACAGCCAGTTCATGAAAGCATTCTGGAAAATGATAAATATACCTCCATCATTTTTCTTGTCTACTTGGTATATATTGCAGAGATGCGCAAAATATATCAAAACGGCCAGGCTTATCGTGTAGCATTTAAGGGACAAGATGATTCAGAAACATCAGGCCTGTTTAAGTCAAAGATTTAAACACAAAGCTTCAGAATCCAATAAATGGATGAAACGTGAATATCTCGTACCGTACGTTCCGATTTTTTTTTATTTATTTAATTTGTTTTTCTTTATCGGACTTAACGTGTATAAATGAAGCCTGATGGGGAAAAGCCTAGAAAAGGCGTAAAAACCCCATATCTTTTCGAAATACATGAATCACAATAATACAATACAATTACAACAAACATTAATCAAGTCTATAGCATAAAAAAAGTTATCCTCCTATGGCATAGAGTTGTCCGTGAATCAGGTAGAAGTCCTGGTCATGCAGTTGAACCGGAAACAAAAAAAAACAGGTAGCACACTCCTTCACGTGTACATTAAATGGACAGCTACTCACCTTCTCAGGAGTCTGCGTTGAATACGGTGACGAAAGGTTTCCGCTGCACAGTTAAAGTCGAAAAACCCAGACATGAACCGTATTGGGTCATGCAAGCTGTAGTTCGCAGCACGAGGTCCAAGATGCAGGAAAATCCTCGACCGAAGAACTCGTTCGGGTGCGTAGATTTCGAATTCAGCCAAGATTCCTGGAGAGTCGATATCACCAATAAGTACTTTCGCTGCGAACACAGCCTGACTAATCGTCCGCCTATGTTCTAGTGTTCCAAGACCCAGGAGTTGACAACGATCTTCGTACGGCGGAAGGTTCACAGGGTCATTCCAAGGAGGGTGACAAAAGGCATACCGAACAAATTTCCTTTGAACAGATTCAATCCTCGCTATCCAAACTGCTTGCTACGGGCATCATACTACCGAGCTGAATTCCAAGATCGATCGCACTAGAGAGCAGTATAGAGCTTTTAGACAGGCAGGATCGCGAAACTAGTCAGCGATCTTGAAAATGAACCCGAGTTGCCTGTTAGCTTTCGCAACGATGCCCGAGTAATGAAGCTTGAATGTTAAGGCGCAGTCCAGCGTGATTCCTAGGTCACGAACATTGTCCACACGTTGAAGAAGTTGGTGACTTATCGTATAGTTGAATGCCACTGGTTTCAGCTTGCGATGAAATGAGATAATATTACATTTTTGTACATTCAACGTGAGATAGTTTCTTGAGCACCACTCTTCGAAAGTATCGTTTAGGTGCTGAAGTCGCAAGCAATAGAGTTTTCGTTTTGTAAGCAGCAGAAATAGAAGAGCAGCAACGCCTCTAGCGATAGATGTGCCGCTGGTCGCCTTCGACCTCCTTCTTTTTCAGCTCGGAAACATAAATACACCGGAACTGCTGCTGGTTTCCGAATCTTCAGCATTCAGCTGCTCCGAAATATCAGAGGTAACCAAAATCGTAAAAGCACCACTACACTTCGCAACCCGTAAATTTCACTCTTGAACCGCGCACTAGAAAATACAAATCCCACGACGGCACCGAAAGTAACGGAAAAGCCGAATCACACGACCGGAATTCCGTTAAAAATACTTATGGAAATAGCCTTCAATTTTTATACTCACACACTTTCTAGATAAATCTGATCAAGCGCCTTCAACCAAAAATCGAAAAAAAAACGCGACGAAACAACATAGACGACAATATGACAACTGACAAATTTTCGCGTCCGTTTAGAAGCAGGGCACACTTCGATCCGTTCAGGAATCGTAGGGTAGGATGGTGCAAAACGCACCCTTTAAGCAAAATCGTCAATGGCTGGCGAATGGAAGCTAAAATCAAGAAGAAAGTAATTTCGTTTGGTTCATTACCATGTTTTCTACAAAGATCGAGTGATTTAGAACTACAAAAGGATGATTTTCCATGACTTTCAAGGTATTTTCTAAATTGCTTCCAAAATGATAGCGGGGCAAAACGCCTGATTCATGATGCAATATGCACCACAACATTGGGACAAGACGCACGACAACAATGGCCAAAACGCACCACAACATTGGGGTAAAATGCACCCCATGGTAAACAAACCATAACCCCTGCAAGTAGATAATGCAAAGGGATGCGGTATTTCAAATGATTATTTCTTTATGTTACATCAGAAATAAGGTCTCAAAATCTCAATAGAATGTTAAACTGTGATTCATCAAGTAAAATATCTAAAAAATATACGAAACGTAAATTTGTTATTTTTTTTGTGATATATGATGTTAAAAGCTTAATTTACAGTCGATGATTTTAACAACTGTGTCCTGTTTTGCACAAAATGTAATTTTTTTAAAGAATCAGCAGGTCAATACATTATTTTATGATCAAGAATTATTTGTGAAACCTCCAGTTGAAAACAATCACAAACCGTTACCCGGAAAATGCATCTGAGGAAAAGTTATCGCTGTTTTTCTAAAAGTGGGCATTTTACCCCAGGGGTGCATTATGGGCTGTTCTCCCTTACTAACAGCAGCGTTTGACAGTAGGCAGCATGTTCCGGGCTCAAATCGTTTATTTTGCTGTGCTGGGCCCGCTGTCACGGTATAACATGTTGCCTACGCGCCTGCTACTGGGCTGCCGGGCCAGCAGCCGAGCACTTTTGGAAGTGGAAAACTTATTGATTAACGGCAACGTCAGCCACCGAATCACCACCAACACTCGTTATCAGCACGTTTCCGGGCTAATTCGCCAAACGGACCGGGTTCAAAATTGCCCACCGTGAGGAATCTCTCAATAGAACTACACGCCGAAAGTGTGCCATCCGAAATCGAAGAATCGGGCTCCTGGGAGGCACTGACAACCTACACCGAACAATATAATTTAAGCTGCTCCGAAGATTTTGGAGGTTAGATTCAAGGTCATCCGAGTCACTCAAGGCAAACACAGGCAAAACACGATATATCACTAAATGCTAACTTTATGAACACTTGAAACTAAATTTCAGCACACAAATTAACAAATTTAGAGCAAAATGTTTAATTCGCTGACGAAAAATACGCAGCAAAAGAAAAACACGTCAGCTTTCAAACGCGGCCTACTGCGATCCAATCACTTTAAAAAATGTTGTTCGATGTGTACAAAAAGTGTGAAAAACCTGTTTTGCCACACTGTCCAACATTTATACGAAGACCAAAATCAAAGATCATAAAAGTACCTAAGAGAATTGTTGAAAACACTAGCGGGCACCGATCTTACAGCAGGGCAAATAAAATGCTTATTATAATATTTGCGACATGTTTTTGGCACTCGTGTGTGTATTCCATCTAACCCCCACTGGCCCGCAGTGTTATTATGGAAGAACTCTCTCTACAATGTCGCATTTATGGTCATTGTAGACAGCTTTAGTCCGGGGGTTAGAAAGTGATAGCTCTATTGCAGATCCAGCAACCCATTTCAGACTGTCTGGAGAGTCACGCCCATTCCGAGGCTACTTTCACTTACAATAAGCCCCGCATGTATGCATCACCGTTATCAAATGGATATTGGTATTACATACACGCTTCCAGGTTCGAAAATATTCTTGTCAAACCTGGAACGTATTTAGTTTGTTTTTTTTTTTAATTGTAGAATGTATTTGGACTGCGCTCACCATGTTTATTTGATCCTGCAGTCCATGGGTTCCGTAATTTTGATTTTCTCTAAGCTTTGCATCTCATTTCGTGATGCACCTTTGTCGTAATACTTCCTTTAACGAACACAAACTTTCTTGCATTGTCATGGTCATCTGGGAGGAGGTTCGCGTGTAGTACTTTCCCCAGGAACAGTTCGCGGTCACCAACTGCCACCCGTCC